CAGCAACATGCATTAGCAATACTGTGGGCCCAACTCCACCAACAAAATCCTTGTACAACACTCCAAGAATATCATGAGTTACTTGTCGGATACGTGAAGAACGCTCTGTCATTGAACATGTATGTTGTGAAACAAACACACAGACGTGAAACTTTGGGTAATCTTTTGATGTTGTAGCTCTCACCCTCCACGTACAACCTTTTACCCAGCACTTGATAATCAGCAAAAATGGTGTCGACTTATCAACATAAAAATCAAACTTTTGTACCACAGTTAGTATCTTCAATCGCGTCTCCAAATGTTCTTTCGTTTCATAACATTGACCAACAGCCAAATCCACATAAGACAAGTCTAATTTCACGAAATTAGCATCTTCCTTTAGTTCGTCAATAAAAATCTCTGAACTCCTCTCTTCAATGGTAACAATGCGTTAGGTTTTTCTTCTTCTTCTGGAAGAATCCCATACAAGGTAAAATTTTCATCATCGGAGTCTGTACCATCAGAATCGTCACAGTAATCGAATCTCGTTTCTTCATCGTCAACGTCTTCATCGTCTTTACTATCAGCATCTTGATCACAAACTTCCTTGTGAAAATCATCATCTTCATTCACGAAATCGTTTATGCTTCTTGCTCGTTTTTTGAAATTTTGTTTTTATTCAACAAAAACTTTCTTCTTCACTTCAACGCAAAGTCTAACTGTTTCTCTCTTCAATTGACACAAGAAGTGTGTAATTGTCGACAATTACCAATAATAACCTGAGGTCCAGGTAAGTTCTGCGACAACACCTTCGAAAGCTTGTAGCTCAACACGACATCATATTCTCTGTGATCCAGCCCATAATCTTCATACACCATTTGAATGCAATCAGCATAAATGGTTTGACGGTTACTTTCTAGAATACGACAACCCCTAGCATTATCAACAACAAACAACCATCGATTTTTTTCATAGATCCAACTACAACATACGAGAATCATCTGATCCATATCCAATCCATTGCCTTTGCTTGGGGACATTGTTTTTTCTAAACCCAGAAACAAGATTTGAAGAACCCAAAATCATGAGAAAAAACTAAAAAAAAATACGTAATTTGCTTAACCCCAATAGGAAAAAAATTGTGAAGTCGAAAGACACCCCAAAAGGAAAAAATGTAATTTCTCCATGTTGCCTCAATGGAGAAAAGAAAACTATGGAGGCCACATTTTTTTTCACAAAAACCCTTGATGTCGACATTTAATGTTTTAGTAGTAAATATGGTAACTGCTCTAATAAATCTGTCATTTCAAAGAGAAAAAGTTGTCACCCCTGTAAATCTTATTATAGCAAAAAAATCTGCCAAAAAAAAAAAACATGTCATCAAAGGGGTTCATAATTGCAAATCTGTCGTAACATACAACATTATAAACGTCATTCTAGCAATTTTTTCTTTACTTTAACAAATATGCCATCAAATGGCAGATTTGTGGTAATATAATTTAATCTGTCATAACATAAAACAAGTCTGTCATAACATAAAATATTATATTTTGAAAAACAAATTTGTTGTAACACGACAGATTTTATGGTAACATTATAAAAATATGTCATAATATATAATAAATCTGCTAGCATTAGACGTCAATCTAGTTATTAATTTTTAGTCAGCAAGCCAAAACTATTACAACATGACAATTTTTTTTCGAAAATAACAAATCTGCCGCTTCTTACAAATTAAATCAGCCAAACATTACAATAAGTCTGTCACAAATTGTTAAAGTTTGTGGTTGAATTAAAAAAAAAAAGAGATAATTGGGTGAGAGACAAAGATCTGAACTATATTTAGTTTTTTATTATTTTTTGTCGGAACCCAAAACAAAGAAAATTTTAGCCCCTCTTTTTGCCAGAAATAGCGTCACGCGTGTTTCCATTCGACATGATATAGTTTAATACATGAGACATCAATATGTTGTACATGAATATCTAAAAATCTTTATACAGTAAAACCTCTATAAATTAATACTCTATAAATTAAGAGAAATTGTTAAAAATGCCCTTTTTTCAATACCCCTTTTCAAAAATGCCCCCTTTGAGAGTCTATTTTTAAGTTTGCCCTCTTTTAATTTTTAATGACCATTTTACCCTTATATGAAACAAAATTAGGTCCACAAAATACAAAATATTTTTTGGCGGGAAAAGTGATCCCGCAATTTTCCCGCCAAAACACTTGTAAAAACCTTTAAAATACCTTGTAAAATTTTCCCGTAAAAATTTTTCCCGCCAAAAATTTTTTTTGCGGGAAAAGTGATTCCGCAATTTTTTTGGCGGGAAAAATTTACAAGGTATTTTAAAGGTTTTTACAGAGTATTTACAAGTGTTTTGTAAGGTTTTACAATGTATTTTAAAAGGTTTTACAAGGTACTTATAAGGTTTTATAAGGTATTCATAACTTGTAAAACCTTATAAAAAACTTGTAAAACCTTATAACTTGTAAAATCTTATAAAATAGCTTGTAAAATCTTATAATATCTTATAAATACCTTATAAATACGTTGTAAAACCTTTTAAAATACATTGTAAAACCTTATAAATACCCTGTAAAAAACCTTTAAAATATCTTGTAAATTTTTCCCGCCAAAAATTTAACGCCAAAAAAATTGCGGAATCACTTTTCCGGAAAAAAATTTTTTGGCGGGAAAATTTTACAAGGTATTTTAAAGGTTTTACAAGTTTTTACAAAATCAAATTTGTAATTTTGATGTGTGCACATTCTCATGTTTTCCTTATATATTTGTGATATTTTTTATTAAAAGAAAGGTAATTTAGTCATTTTGTACATAAAAAGGGGTATTTTTAAAAATGGACAGCCAAATGGGGCATTTTTGAAAAGGGGTATTGAAAAAAGGGCATTTTTGTGAGTCTCCCATAAATTAATAACCTCTCTAAATTAATAAATTCTTCCGGCCAGAGTTGGGACTACTGTAAAATATGACATAAATCGATAAATTAATAAGATAATAATTTTTTTGAAAATCTCATGTAAACAATGGTCTCATCTATATCATAAATTAATAATTATATAGATTATATATATATATATAATATAAATTTATATATGTTATATATGAATTACTATGATATATATTTAAAATATAATATGTAAAAAATTTGATGAAATATGACTCTATTATTCAAAAAAAGTTTGTGTTATTTTTTAAACTTAATAATTGTTTCTCTACTTGTAATTAGTTTTTAAAAGACATTGTTTATAAAGAAAAAATTTTATTTTTAGATAGATATTTTTTTAAGAGTAAAATCTCTCTATAAATTAATAATTATTAATTTATCGATAAATTAATACCTCTCTAAATTAATAAAATTTCTTAATCCCAACATTATTAATTTATTATAGAGGTTTTACTGTAGATCTATATATCTACCTTATATGTTACCTTCCTCCTCGTATACCGCCATCGTTTATATTGAGCCAAGATCGAACAGAGCACCACACTGTAATAGCAACACTTTAAATTCAACACAATTAGTGTTGCTATTATGATGATTTTTTGTAAGTTCTGGTGACAGTTTAACAACAACAGATGAAAATACAATGACAATTCAACGAAATCGGTGAAGATCCGGTGATAATTCGAAGAAATCCAATGATATTTCAATGTCCAATTACAATGCATTATTCACTTGCTCCGTTCAACAGTTTGGGATACAGTGATTGTAGTTATGTTTGTAGCGTTTATACAAGTATACTAACGTTAATAACGTTCTATATATGTGTTTACATATATACAAATGTTAATAACGCTCTATACATGTGTTTACATGCACACAAATGTTAATAATGATTCATATACATGTTTACATGTATACAAATGTTAATAACGTTTTATACATGCATATATAGATCTAATAACATAACACTATAATTATTTTTAACGCTCTATACATGTGTTTACATGTATATAAATGTTAATAACGCTTTATACATGTATATATAGATCCAATAACATAACACTATAATTATTTGTAACGCTCTATACATGCGTTTACGTGTATACAAATGTTAAAATCGTCTAATGTATATTTGTAGCATGCTAAAATTTTCCTAGTTTGAAAAAAAACCAATATTTAATGTTAGTCTGTATATTATTAAATGTTTGGTTGCATTAAAAATCCGTCTACTTTTTCTTTTTGTCTCATGTAAATGTTATATCATGTGACTAGTATTTACTCAATGTCGCTTCATTTCTTTTTGCCAATAAAAAGTCAAGAGCACTTTCCCACGCGCATAAGCGTGTAAACAATTGGTTTTTTTTGTAAATCTTTTGAAACCAAGGGCTATTGATAACGATTTATTTTCTCCTGTCTTAGACAAAATCGATTTTTGTCGATTCGCTAATTTGATGCTCTATTTTGTCTCTGCGCCAATCGTCCCTAAAAAAAATCAGTAAAAAAAAACAAATTTGCTAAAATTCTTTTAGTCTGTCGTAACCATATTCAAAAAAATCTGGCAAGCAAATAAGTCTGCGAAAATAAATCTATCACAGATAAATAAGTCTGCAGTTTATAAATTAATCTGTCACAACTTAATAACAAACTTTTCTAAAATTGCTGAAATTTTTTATGAACGGTAATTCTTTTTTTACACATAAGACAAATGTAGTTTAGGCATAAAAATAACTCATTTAACCCTAATTATTTGTGAGTCAATTTAATAATTAAACTCAAAATTCGGGTTAATCTAGTAACTCTCCCTTTATTTAATCTGATGTTTTCATTTTATAAACAAAGAAACTTTTTATGCTGATATATTTGATGTATAATTATGACTGTACACGTGTCGCTTTACCCTTAAGACTTTTCTTTATGGCACTTTGATATCTTATGACTGGAGATTATTTAAGGAAATAAATTTCATAATTATTTAACTTTTTAACAATAGGGTCACAACTGTCATAGACAACTGATGAGTGATGACAATTAGAAAAATGTCGTATTTCTGAGACTTGACTAAAAAATTAGATAATAAGCATTCAAAGAGAGATTCAATCCATACATAAGTTCGAAACATCCACAACAAAAGAAAGCAGCTCACACATACGGCGTTCTTTAACTTAAGAAGTAATAACCTTCTGTTTCTTACGCGGCTTCGGCGGACTAGCAGAGGGATATAAAAACTTGTGGATAATCACCCCTTCATCGAATAGGCGTCCAGGCCATACTGATAAGCTTTTGTGATCGTCTGTTGTAAGCTTCTTAGGCTCTACTAAGAAAGCATTAACAAGTCTGGAATGCATACAGGTAAGACCAAGGGTAAAGTTGACGCATCCTTGAATTTCATTTGAGATGACAATCACACTTGGTGGTACAACATACTTGTGAGGAGTGTCTATTTTCCATAAAAACATGTCGTTTACCATCATTTGAACTCTCTCAGTTTTATTCCCAGGAACTATAATACATCAACAAAGATATAGATTATGTAATGTAAAGAGAAAAAGGAGCGTTAAGAGAGCGTAAGGAAAAAGAATTCACCTTTGGGAAGGAAATAGATTTTGGCTTTCTGAAACTTCTCCAGCACATCATCTGAGAATGGTATCTTCTCAGCATAGGCCCATATTGACATCTCACCATAATAATCTTTAGCATCAAGAAGCAATTCGATTCTCGTATAGAGAAGTTCAGGATCTAGATCACTAGGGAATGGGAAATCCTCAATGTCCCAGAAGACGCCTACCCTAGGCCCTGGGACAGGTGGGAGAGGCTCTGCAAGGTTTCACAAAACAGAACGCATAAACAATTATCAAACGAGCAATAAAGGTAGATTACAATCGAAGAGATAAAAAGAAAAATCTAACTGGAGAAATCAAGGTTTTTTATGGTATCAACGGGAGAGAGTTGTTGGTTGTTCATGATTTCAACGGGAGAGACTTTTGGCACTTCCACTGCCTTCTGTTTCTTCACCTTCTTCCTCCACCGCTTATTAAATGGTCCGCATCTGGTTGGGCCGACAGAAAATCTTCTATCGAATAACGATCTTGGCCAATCTGAGGATCCGGGATCGATACACTTAGGCTGTACTAAGAAAGCAGAGTAATATCTCTGCTTGCATTCCAATTAGATAATGGGAGAAGTTAATATTTTTTCCTTGAGTGTTGATGTCATTTGAGATTACGATCACATTTGCCTCTACACCGAACACAGGATAAGTGTCCATTTCCCATAATCGAATGTCATGTGACATCCTAAGAAATCTCGCAATTTTATCCCCAGGAACTACACATATGTAAAGAGAATAGAGTCGATTATATAAATATATGTAAAGAGTGTTAAGAGAGCTTCAAGAAAAAAGGATTCACCTTCGGGAACGAAATAGATTCTGGCTTTCTGATACTTGTCCAGCACGTCATCCGAGAACTGTATCCTCTCAGCATAAGCCCATATTGATATCCCACCTCGATAACCTTTTTCCTCAAGAGTCGATTTAATTCTCTGAAAGATTGTTTCAGGATCAAGATCATTTGGGAATGGGCAATCCACCAGGTCCCAGAAGACGCATGTCATAGCATCTGAGGAAGGCGTGAAACGCTCTGCAAGATTTCACAAAACCGAGAACGCAGAAACAATTGAGAAATTAGTTAACTCAATCAGATCGGTCCGATGAAATCTAAACAAAAAAATTAAAGATAGAAAGAGAAATATTACCAGAGAAATCGTGTTTGTTAACCATAGTTGTCGAATCATTTCCTAATGGATATGTCCAGGAACTTAGTAGGGCTGGATTACTAAACATCTGGTCTGGTACTTGTCCTTCAAGCGGATGATGTGCGAAGTGAACATCGAAACCTCTTGATTTCAAAGCCCAAAGAACTCTTTTGGTCTCCTTGTCTTCAGGGAGACTTTTTGAGATTACCATGAAATTTGATGGTTTATGTGTCGAAGTTGGTTTAATGGTCGGTGTGAGGAGAAATGCGTGGGAAAGAATGTCGAGTAACATTGAAATACCTGGAACTGTATACATCAACAGAGATCAAGGTTAGATACATATATATATATATATATACAATATATGCGAGTAGAAAAGAGAAGAGTGTGTAATAATAATTAAAGGTTTTAAGTAAAGGAAATCACCGTTGTGAGAGAAAAAGAATCCGGCTTCGAAAAATTCCTCACTCGTATTCAACTCCTCATTTTCATCTGTCTTGTCAGGATAAGCCCAGATTTTCAAAGGCATATCACGATAACCGTCCGACAGAGCTGCCTTGATATTCTGATAAATCGAGTGAGGATCGATATTTGTAGGGATTGGGTAATCCTTGAGGTCCCAGTAGACGACTGTGCAAGACTCTTCACGAAAAAGAAAAACGGAGAACAACGCATAAACGATTAGGAAACAGAAGAATTAAAAAGAGATTACAAAAGATTGAGATATCCATTAACCATGAATTCAATAGATATGTATATGAAGGACAGACCGATAAAATGATATCAATCAAGCAATTTCGTAGAAAGGAAGAGAGCAGAGCCGGCTCTAACATTTTGAAGGCCATAAAGCTTAGAAAAAAAGAGAGGCCTAATTTCTTCTCAAAAAAATTGTTAAAGCATTACTGCAAGTGTGGGACTCGAACCCTCAACCTTGCACTTCTTTCTGACCAGCATTTAACCAGTTGAGCTATAAGAGAATTTTAGAAAAAGGAGGGCCGATATATTAATAACTACATCTGGGGCCACAAGCACATGCCTCCCTAGCTTGTGGCTAGGGCCGGCTCTGGAAGAGAGATCTTACCGCTGAAGTCTATCATAGTTTCGACGCGAGTGAATTAGAGACTTTTTCTCTTCCGGAGGAGAGAAACATGATAAGAAGAAAACTCAATTCGGGTTGAGAGGGTCGCTTCCTTTTTATCTGCGGCTGATACCGACTGACTTTTTAGGGTTAGATCTGTGCCTTGTTTTCAGCCGTTGGATCTCATCGTAAATTTAAGATGTCTGCGATTAAAAGATATATATCTATATATACATTTTTGGATCACAATTAGCAAATAAATCCTGAAGTTGAGAAGTATTTACAATGACATGCCATTAGCATTAATTATTTAGATTTGTTTTATTTAAGTAAAGATTTTTAATTGAAATTCATTTCTCATATATTTAGCAAAAGTCTCTACAAAATCTTTTCTTATCTATTTAAGTAAAGATTTTGAAATCAAATATGTTCTCAACAATTTACCAAAAATCTCTACACAATCTTTTTAAAAATCTCGACTTAGTTAACTTCTGATTTTTATCTGCAAAAAAAAAAATTAATTGTAACGAGTGATGTAAAAATCGGGAATGTTGATACTATAATTTCTTCTACTTCTTTTTTTTCATATAATGAAAATTATTTTTTAGGCATATTTTCTTAAAACCTCTAAACAAAACAAAGAGTTTCAAAAGATAGCTTCTCTTTTGGCGGGTCGACCCGCAAATCCGCAACTCTCTACGGGCTTATCCGCATGAACCTGCGACCAGTAGTGGATAAAAATATTATTCAAAAAAATAACAAATGATGTTTAATTTTACGGGACGGGGTTATATGGTGCAACGGGTTTAGATCAATATTAATATTAAACAATCTATATATACATTTTTGGATCACAATTAGCAAATAAATCCTGAAGTTGAGAAGTATTTACAATGACATGCCATTAGCATTAATTATTTAGATTTGTTTTATTTAAGTAAAGATTTTTAATTGAAATTCATTTCTCATATATTTAGCAAAAGTCTCTACAAAATCTTTTCTTATCTATTTAAGTAAAGATTTTGAAATCAAATATGTTCTCAACAATTTACCAAAAATCTCTACACAATCTTTTTAAAAATCTCGACTTAGTTAACTTCTGATTTTTATCTGCAAAAACAAAAATTAATTGTAACGAGTGATGTAAAAATCGGGAATGTTGATACTATAATTTCTTCTACTTCTTTTTTTTCATATAATGAAAATTATTTTTTAGGCATATTTTCTTAAAACCTCTAAACAAAACAAAGAGTTTCAAAAGATAGCTTCTCTTTTGGCGGGTCGACCCGCAAATCCGCAACTCTCTACGGGCTTATCCGCATGAACCTGTGACCAGTAGTGGATAAAAATATTATTCAAAAAAATAACAAATGATGTTTAATTTTACGGGACGGGGTTATATGGTGCAACGGGTTTAGATCAATATTAATATTAAACAATATTAAACAATATACGATGGATGAAATCCTAGAATTAAAAATCAAAATTTAATTATAAAATCAGAAACACTAAACAAAATAAACAATATTAACAAAACAAATACAACTTAAAATTTTGCAAAATAATTTTTTAGTTGTAAAAAAATCGACCCGCGGTGTACCGCGGGGTAAAATCTAGATTTGGAAGTTTAAGGAAGAAAAATCTTTTTTTAAAAATAATAGCTCCGCGGTGTACCGCAAGAAAAATCTTTCTCTTAAACTGAGGCAAGAAGAAGAAGAAAGCCAAATGTCGTTTAAGTGTATATAACTATATATAGATATACCATTTAAACCTAAAACACAATTAATATACTCAAAACTATTAATATAGATATATGGATGGTACATTTATAAAATAGGTCGAAATATTATATTATACTCTCTATTAATAAACAAAACTAATTATATTTAGATTTTTTTAAAAAAAATTATAGCCCCGCGGTGTACCGCGGGTTCAAATCTAGTACATGTATGTAAAACTTAAAATGAATTAAACGAATAATTCAACTAAAATATTCCTATGCAATCAGCCCAGCTCCTCCGTCAAACCTAAATAAATCAACGGTTGAGATTATTTAGAATCTCTACCATCTGATCCATCGCTCCTATTATTGGTTGAAATTTATAGCTTAATTAGTGGGTTGACAGTAACAACAATCATTCCGTGATTTTAATAACATTAATATTCATTATTATAAATATTTTAAGTACATTTTTAAAATGTTCGGAGCTAGTTAGATTGATATATAATTTTCTTTTATTATAGATTTTTTAACCCTCGTTTACAAAAAAAAAGATTTTTTAACCCTCCAATTAAATGAATTAAAAAAATTCTTATTCAAAAGATATTAGTTTATTTTAAAAACATTTTCGATGGCAATAAAAAAAAAATGTACTTAAAATTTTCTAAAATCATATATATGAAATGAGGTGAACTCTCTCCATAAAATAGACACGTCAGCGTAGGAGAGAATGACACGTGTCTTTGTAAGAATATTTAGCTTTTCGTCTTCTCTTAATAATCTCATTGGCCCCTTTGGGGAGAATCTTTTTTTTAAAAACCTCTCTTTATTCTCACTACCCCCTCTTCTTCCTAATTTTTTCATAAACCAATTTTACCCTTTATCATTCTTTTATCTATTTAATTCTACATTTAATTTAATACCAACATTTTTTCTCTTCTCTCATTAAAATCGTTCCTACGTCTCTTCTTCTTCTCCGATCTTTTTCTCAGCAGCTCCGATCTTTTTCTTCAGCATCTTCGATCTCCTTCTTCAGCAGCTCCGACGTTCTTCTTCTTCTTCTTCTTCTCCATCCACCATTAAAAGATCTGTATTTCCTTCTTCTTACGATTCAAGCATCTCCAAACTAAAAGCGAATTCTTCTTCTTCTTACGATTCAAGCATCTCCAAATTCTTCTTCTTCTTCTTCTCAATCCACCATTGAATCTCACCATTAAAGCTTACGATTTTGCATCTCCAAAGATATATCTCTTTTCTTCTTCTTCTTCTATTCCCAACTGAAACCATTAGGTACAACTAAGTAGAATATTTACGGAAACCCTAAGTTTGGTGCAACTGGGACAAATGTGTACAACTATGTTGATGGTCTACTACGAATGTTGTGAAATTATAGGCCGTTTTTCTCTCTTTCATTTTTAAGGACAAAGAAAAGCAATTCAGTCATACGCTTTGATGGAGACGATGCAGGTGGTTTACCAATGATGGTGACGTTGATGGAGACGATGCGGGTGACCAAGGTTGATTTATGAGTGCTATTTATTAGGATAATAAGAAACGATATTGTTTGTATTGGTTTTGTTTATGAAACTTATATGTTCTGTGTTGTACAACTAAGTTTTAGCAGGTATAACTATGGTTGATTTCCTTGTCGTAGCTGTGCAAATTAAGTTGTTCAGTCTTGGTACAACTAAGTACAACATGTACAACTAAGGTCTATTGCCTTGGCTAATTTTATAATATGAAAAATTAAGACCAAATTGAAAAAACCTAAAAAAAATGCATACACGATGGTAACGAAACTACACAACAAGTTTTTGACAAAATTTCAAAATTTTCTAAAATAATGAAATTCTTACACAAAATCCGACATTCATACACTAACAACCTTATACTTTCATGGTTACTTTGTAGTTTTGAACTAAAATTTTATAAATTTTTGAAATACTTGTATTTTGATAAATATAAATACACAGATACAAAGTAATGGTATTTTTATGAGGCAATACCATCGGTTCCACCCACAAAAATTAAACTAGAGTTGATAACAACTAGGTTTACTAAATTCTCTATAATTGTACAACTATATGAACAAAAATGTACAACCGGATACAACTGTACAATTATGAACAAATTTGTGCTATTTTTAATTATTTTTTTCAAAATAACGGCGCCAGGTAAACTATTTGTCAGATTTTTTTAGATATTTTGAGATATCTTTAGATTCTTTCAGATATTTTCAGAAATTTAAGTGTTTTTTTTTTTAATCAAAACCCTTACAAACCTACATATTTACCGGATTTTTTGAAAAATTAAGATTTTTTTTTTTGGTTCAAAACCCTTAGATTATATTCAATACATAGATTGATACATACAAATATTAAGATTCTGATTCAAAGATACATACATAATTAGATAGGTTTTTTTAACCAAAAAACATAAACCCAGAAACATAACCTGCTGCTTCGCCTAAACACATACATCAAAATCAGAAAACAATTGTATCTTTTCATGCCTCGCCTTCTCTTGCTCAATCTCCTTCACCTTCTTTTGCTCCATCTCCTTCGCCTTCTCTTGCTCCATCTCCCTCGCCTTCACTTGCTCCAATTCCCTTGCCTTCTCTTGCTCCAATTCCCTCATCTTCTCTTGCTCCAATTCCCTCGCGTTTTCCTTCTCTTCCTCCATCTTTGCTCTGATTGGTTTGGATCAGATTTCTTTAGTCTTTTGGATCTTCTAGTAGAAGATAATCTTTCCCTTCTAGAACTAGATCCTCCTCCTCTAGTAGTAGTCATTCTTGTTGGTGTCGGATCCCGCACCAGAAGTACGAGACCAACCAAAGATTGCCACGTAATCAAGATAATGGCCCATAAAGGATGAAGCCCATTGGACCCGTGAGCCGAAGGGACGGTCGAAGTGGTTGTCATCATTTCGGGAATCTGAACTGACTGCACGGTGACACAAGTTCGGTGTAGAAGACATGGGTAAGTCGGTTCAAGGACGCTTGGGCCAAAAGAGGCGAGGCCCATGAAGATCAGAGTCAACTCAAATTCAAACGTTGAGCATTAAAGCCGAAGAATCAAAACGGACGCATTTAAGAAGAAATAATTGTACTTAATTACTCATTTTAATGTCGTTTATCTATGTATAAATATAGAGGCCAATGGCCATGTAAAAGGGATCTTCCTCTCAAGAGAGAAATACTATAGCAATTTTCGTATCAATTTACAAGTTCTTACGTATTCATTTTTGTCCCTCAAGAATAATCTTTCCCACTTAACAAAATACTTGAGTGTGTGAATCCGACATCTACATTTTGGCGCCGTCTGTGGGGAAGTCAGGATTCTTGAGTGGTCAGATTTCTTCTTTTCTACA